CCCCCCCCCCTTTTTTGTTTTTTTAAACACCTCATTTAGGCTTCTCACCTTGGGAAGTTGCAAACAATGATGTGGGACATGCTGTTGTGAGATACTTCATGTAGTCTCAGTGTAGCGTATCTAAACATGTGATTGTTTAGATATGTATTTTTCCCATTTAATTTGCTTCTCCTCCCCCTCCGCCTTGCCAATTAGTTTGCTCAAATCTTTCTCTTGTTTGTGAGGTGAATGTTTGGACTCCTGTTTGCTGGCATAAAGACAATACTGTATTTGTGCTTCCATTGCTTCTAATGATGAATTACACTTTTCATGATTTGCCACAAGAAATGAATGTTGTTTTATGGTTTTGTGATACATATAATCTGATCATTACTAATATGTGTATCAGACTTTATCAGAAGCAAAAATGAAAACTATTTCTGCCACCCATTTCTTATTAGTTAATAAGAAATTAAGGGGAATTTAAATATTACTTTATAATTGGGTTTATACATGACTCTTTCCGTTTAACTGTTGTATTTGGGGGCATCTCCCCAAATACATTTATACTGAAAAACAAGAGAGTAGAAGCTGCATGTTCTTTATAAAGCATCATAGCTTCAGGAGTAAGGAGTTACTCCCCATCAAATTAGCAAACTGACAATACGTTAAAATCGCTGCAATACATTTTTAGAAGCCTTTAAACATGGAAGCGACTTCTCTTGGAAGCATCCAGTCTTTTGTAAACGCTGTCAGTGATGAAAATCCTCTCTATTATCATGCAGGAGCCAGTTTCAGAAGGACCAGTTCCTTGGGTCAGTAAAAGCAGTGTAACATTTGTGGCAGAGCAGGTCTCTCATCATCCTCCAAGTAAGTTGACAATAAATTTGCTAATAGAGATGGCATCTTGATAGGAGCGACAGTAAAGTCAGCTCTTGGTTTGAATCTTGGATTTACATTTTTCTCTCCAAATTTAAAAGCTGAGGGTTTTCTCTATAAACTGTTTTTATGAGAAACAAATTGCACACTGTTGCCACATAAGTATGAGGCACTTTGAGATATTTCCTGATGAATGAATTTGGAAACAATAGTATTAATGTCTTGTGCTGCTATTTTTAATACCTTTTTCTTCAGTTTCAGCATTTTATGCAGAGTGTTTTAGCAAGAGGATACAGTTCAATGCTCACATATGGACCAAGTCAAAATTCTTAGGAATGTCTATTGGGGTTCATAACATAGGGCAAGGTATGTGTGTGTAAATTTAACAATAGAAGATAAATTTACATTCTGCAACTAGGATTTTTGCTGAAATTATTTAAAGCCATCCTATTAAACATAAGGAATGTTTGATTTTATGTAATTTGAGCTTATGTATCTCGGAATCAGTGATTCCTTTTGCAAACTTTGAGTGCTGAAATAATTTAGGGCCCAGTTTTTCACATAATCACAACTCTCCCTGCCTTCTCTAGAAGCTAGGCATTCCCAGCACCTAAATAAAGCTCTTCAGCTTTCCTTTTTATGGTACCTGTTTTTAGTGAATTATTTCATATTTTCATTATGAAAAGTTTTGTAGAGATTTTGCTGGAGGTTTTTAAAATCTATTTTTATTTTTCGATAGGGTGTGTCACATGCCTAGATTATGATGAACACTATATTTTGACCTTTCCTAATGGTTATGGAAGGCAAGTAAATGCTCTATTTGGTATTTTCATTTTTGATGCCTTGTAATATTTCATGCTTAATATTTATCAGGTAAAAGGTTGTAAATATATAAAATATATTTATAATTGCAGGTCTATTCTCACTGTGCCATGGATAGAACTTGGTGGAGAATGCAGTATTAATTGCTCAAAGACAGGTTATAATGCTTCCATCGTCTTCCACACAAAACCATTTTATGGAGGAAAGAAGCACAGAATTACAGCTGAAATTTTGTAAGCAGGTTTCTTCAGTTAATCTCACTTTTTCTCTACTTAAATGCTGACAGTGTTTTTTCAAGACAGTCAGGAGTGTAAAATTCTGGAACAGCTACACGCAATAACTTAGCTCATGATTACCTGTCACGGGATACCATTTTATAGCCCAGATTTGTGAGAGGAAACTCACATAGGCCTGCACCCTACCTTGTCCTGCTCTAAAACACTCAGCTATTGACCAAAAGGAATTCAAATTTTCACTCCTGAATTATCTGAAATTTTTTCATCATTATTTCTCCTAAAAATAAAAATACTGAAGCAAGCCTTGTAATACTGCTGTTCGTAGCGTGTCATTAAAGCTCTTTGCAGACTTTTACGTATTTATTTATACCTGTGGTTTGGTGGATTTTGGTTAGACCCTGTGCATATGCCCAGAGCAGAGAATTTGGTGGAGATTCTTATCTTATTTGGAGATGTAATGTCAGTACAAGATGTGGACAAATTGAGGTCCATAACTTGGTTTTAAATCACTTCTTGACACAGATTTGATAGACATCATTTGTGAACTAGCGTTTCGGTTTCCCGGTAGTCTGGGGAAGAAGCTTTGAGTTTGTGAAACCTTTTTAAGCTTAAACTTATCACTCTAAATCTGTTTCTAAAGCCTGTAACTAGTTTCTTAAACTCTAAATGCAGATACAGCCCTAAGACAAGACCTGTCTTATCTCCTGGAACAGCACTTCCTTTTAAGGTTTATTCAGTTGAACTAATTCATGCAAAACTTCTCACTTGTAAACAGAACCCTCATCTTTTCTGTATTGGTGATGGACTTTTCAAGCGCTGATATAAAACCAATTCTACAGCAACTAGGATAAACTTTTGATCCTTTAGGGTCTTTCAGTTACTGTAATACAACTGAGAAATGACTGTTTCTTTCTATTTAGTTCTCCTAATGACAAGAAACCCTTCTGCTCAATTGAAGGAGAATGGAATGGTGTCATGTACGCAAAATACGCAACAGGGGTAAAGCAGCTTCCCCCCTCCCCC